TTTTTCATGTAGTTCATCCAGATATTTGTAAGTGGTTCCAAGAATTACGTATCGTATCAGGGGTAATCTTGAGATCGCCAGACGTTTTGGACCTGGAAACTTGGATAATGGTGAGAAGTAAAGATTGTAGATTGCAAAGACTAAATAATACTGGTATATGTTATTCTCATTGACGTCGATCCAAATTGTAGTGGGATGCTTACAAAAATAAACAGGAATACTGCGAGTACTATTATTTCTTCACGATTCGGGAAAAAGCTGATCGACCCCATGATCATGAATGAATCAAAAATCCAGATTATCAACTACAAAAGGAATTTTGGAAGCAACATCTGCAAGAAAGAGATAGCAGCCTGCAAGACTATCATCTAGATCCAATGTCATCCAGATATGTTCAAGATCATCACTCGGACTATGAAGCCTATCCCAAGACAGTGGAGACAAATATTGTCAAGAGCGGAGAATCATGTCTTAACATAATGTGAGACTCTAGTTGCCAAGTAAAACCGCGAACACCAAGAGATGTAACCTCCCACAATGTTCAACCAAATGAGTAAAGAAGGTAGCTCAAGCTGATTTTGTGCTAGATGGGACTAACATGGCTACATGCCGTATTCCTTGCCTTACCAAAATTTATGCTCCTTCTAATTCGGGTTTGGTCCTCAAATCACCGTTATAGAAGTGACTTTGCTGAAGGACTTGTAGTAGTCTCTGATAGTGCATCTGAATGTCGTTAAGTTACACAGGGTTACTCCATTACACGGTGTCGATTCTGGTGCGCCATTTGATCGCTGAATCTGAGGATCGAGACCTTAACATGACGCAAACGTGTGAGGAAAGAAGCTGCTTTCGTATACGAGATCTATGGAAATTGTTTCAACCTTCAAGAATTGTCTCGCAAGCTTGGGCATTCTATTTATGGACTTGTCTTCTGTCTTGATGTTCGAGGTGAACCCACAATACAATGTGTTAAGATTAACTTTTCAATGTCTCGTTGTCGAAAATTGAGGTCTAGCGTCCAATTCACAGGAGAAAGTCGAGAGAGGAGAAATGAACCACCACCACTTAAGTAATTGTCGTTCAAGGTTGAGAATAACCTCAGAATCAACCTCGTATATTCGGTATTGGTATGGGATTAATGTTATGTAATTGGAGCTCTTGGGGTTTATTTTCAGTATCAAGAAGTTAGACAATTCAGAAAGCAAAAAAGAAAAAGGAAAACAGCTAGTTATCATATATGACAGATCATGGGCCATCCTGATGATATCATTACACAACCTCATCATTATACCTACATCCAGATTTCTACCTGCAGCGTGAGTTACCTGAGCATGCAAACTAGCATCCACAATCGTCTCAAATCCAATTTGAATTGATGCCGCGTATGCACCTCGATTCAATAGACAGCCAAGACTGAAATGAATGCATTATGCCAACGTTATCTGTAATCTCAATATGCATCATAATTGTTGCAGTTATTTTTACAATTACATGCATAGTTTTCTACAGTATGTCTCTTTCCAATTAATACAACAAGACTTACTAATCAAACTTGAAGTCAATAGAGAAGACGTCAGCTCTTTCCTATGTTATCATGCTAAACAATTTCGACTTCGGCACATTACACCACGATCGCAAATTGCTTGCGTTTTACCAGATACTCGGCCAGTAAGAACAATAGAGAAAATAGATACTCATCACCATATGATTCCACCTGTCTATCTAGACCGTAAGTACATTCCATTTAGCCTTCACTGATCTCCCCGAGGTTCTCCTATTGAGTATTTCTCGGCATCAATCTGCTATAAAATTCTGACAACTTTACCAGATATCAAAGAAAACTCCCAAGAACCTAGTGATTTAATATTTCCAACATGGTCTCCACAAATCTCTCTTGATTTTATGGCAAGAAATTCTATCTCGACCTCCATCCTATCATTTGCCCATACCGCTATTGGTGATTCATCCCTTTGCCAGGACATCAATATTTACGCCCATAATTTACGTCTTCAATATCCCACCAAGTTCGGCTTCTTTGCCACTATTCCAATCATAACTGTAGCTTCCTTACCAGAAGTACTCGCTAGCATCAAGTTTTGTTATGAAAAGCTCAATCCAGAAGGTTTCACTCTTTTGACTAGCTATGATGGGAAATATCTTGGACACGAGATGTTTCGACCCGTTTGGGAAGAATTAAATAGGATCAGCGCGGTGGTATTCATACATCCCATTGCTAATTCGCTATCTCCACAATCATTCAACAATAATTCGTTAATCCCTCCTATTGTCGACTTTACGCATGAGATGACACGCACAGCTTGTTCTCTCATCTACGCCAATACTTTGTCTTCATATCCAAAACTCAAAATCATTCTTTCGCACGCAGGAGGTGCCCTTCCTTATGTTAGTTCTTCTGTTGCAAATCTGACTTTCGATGCTTGTCGAAGTGTTCAAAAACCGGAGCAATTCATGAGGGAAGCGAGAAGCTTTTATACTGACTTAGCAGCGAACAGTTATGGTGGGCCTGTGGGATATATTGAGAGATGGTTGGGGCCTGGAAGAACTACTTACGGCAGTGATTTCCCGTTCCCAATCGAAAGTACCATGATAAAAGAATCGGAATTCGTGGAGAATTGGATACACAAGAATGGAGAGGAAGGAAAGGCTGCTTTGAGGAAGACTGCATTGGAATTGTTCCCGAGATTGAAAGCTCAATTGAGCAGGCTCAGATAACTAAGGAGAAATCTAGGATTGAGAATCTAAATGCGAGCAGCGGAGATAGTGATACTGCTTTCACTAGTGCTGTTTGATTTGTAGATGGGGGAACTGAAATTTGTATCCTAGTCGAAGTAGTCGCTGACTCTACTGGCGCAACTGTTGCTCATTTTGTATCTCTTAACTTTCGAGTTTGCTTCTTGATGTTTCGATTTAGATGATCATTTTTGTTGATAGTTACAACTTAGTCCTGAAAATCCTGAGCCTGAAGAGAAGAGGTGTTTTGGAGGCTTGCGCTCATTCATATCATTGCAAAATAGTCAGTTTGATCTTTGTTATTGAGGATACGCACCATTCGCTGTTCGAAATTCAAGATCATACTTGATGTTGGCTTTGAAGCTCTCTAGAAGAAATCCACATATTTAGGCCCTCTATCACTTCATTTGTCATGTAACTGAATGAGAAATTTCAACTCTACTCTTTCTTAAGCCTTCCAAAGGGTTGTAAAATCAGATTCTCGTGCCAGATGTTACATCGTCACATGTTTTAAATATTTTACTGAAATGCACCAAAACCAAGTATCAACCTGAGGTCTGAGACTTTGACTCTCCGAACAGTTGTATGTGTATTGTGATTAGAACCAACTTTTGAGTTACGTCTTCGCGTAACTTTAATATTGAGTCAGAGTATTTGCAATCAAGATTAAGACATATACTCAGTGCAACAGTTCATCATAGAAATAGAGACAAGCGGCAAGCTAATAAAGATTGCGGTAGCAATTGACCTCAATTAAATGCAATGTTCTCATCCAAAGTTCGTTTTTTACGGCTTCGGGACGTCTGAAGATCCATCCTGAACATGATCTGCCATAGCTTCCACAGGGCTGTAGAGAAAACACATGAATAGTGAACCTGAATCTTGTGTGTTGATCTGATTGCACATGTTGATTTCCCAATGTAAGATTTTTTAGGCGCACATGGCAAATTCTACATCGAAGAAGGTGGAGCTGCTGAAAACCTGACGTGTCTTGATTTTATTATATCGGTAAAGGGGACGAAATCCTACACCACTTTGCTCATACTCATAGCTATGGGGATATTGGGCATAGCTATCAACGATAGATTTTCCCGGCAGCCGGAAAACACCGGAAGTACTTCGAGCCGGGTGAGTAGTAACAGATTACCGCACCAATCAATGTTCCACGATGTCTACAATAAAATGTAGACGGATCTCAGACGACTATCCAAGACATCACAATCTCTTAAATTTACAACCATGGGAGCCTCAAACATTTCATGCTACATGGGCTAATTGGAGTTTGATAATTGGTAATCTTTGAAGTCTGCCAGGGAGAAATCGAGATAAGCCCTGATGTACCCTTCAATTCACGGAAACATGCGACTCCGGCGATAAGCTTTGCCGCTAAGCCCTAGATACAACTTATCAGAGCATCTAAGCCCAAGTTAAGTGGAGTTCTCGAAGAGGAATCTCAGATACACATTGGAGTTGAATAAATAATTGAGAAAATGCTCTGCCGGGGTTATTCTAGCCTCAAGTAGATGATCGGATCTACTTCATAAGATTGGGATAATTTTTTGATCTAATTCTTCCATTTTAGCTAAACGCGTTTACAAGCACAAACTAGACTTCGAAATCTAGACTTCCTGGCTAATTCAAACTCGGATCGTTTCCTTGGTGTAAATTACGGAATATAACATATTCAGTGTCTTTGTTGAACATCAAAAGAATCTAACCTCATCGCAATACTTGCTCCATACATAGAGGATGGTCTTGGCTATCGAAGGTAGCAACAGATAGGTCCGAATCCAATAGGAAATTAAAGTCTGGTCGAGATATAAGATGTATTGTGTTCAATTTTCATAATGTAGTTATCATCATCCGAAAGTGAGTAGATCAAGGAGGAGAACCTCGAATTGAGAAGCTCGTGCAAGCTGATAAGAATCGAAAAATGCAACTTTGGCGTCATAATATAATCATCTATATTCTAAAGGTGGAGAAATAGGTGACCAGTGGAGATTACTCAGTGTTAGATGATCGGAATAAAGACCAGTTTCATTGAATAACGTGGCTGTCAGAATGAAACAATGAGGGAAGGTCTTCGATTAATGGATACATCAGGTAGCGAGCAATAATAACTTCCAAACTAGAAGCTATATGACCGACCATGTGTGAATGGGTTAAAGCAAACAAAATTCCAGTCCATTGACCCCTTCATTTAGTCTTTATTAGAATTATTAGTTTCAACACGATATACCTTGTACGTCATGCGTTCGACAATTGACGACATGCCATCTGTGGCTATATTCTGCCCTCAAAGCAAAGCTCCACAGAAGGTTTACCTCGACCGACTACACTCTTTCCTTTGCCGAAACCCATGCTTGGAACCTTTTGTTCAAGATATTCAGGACCTTCCTCGGACTTGGCAAATTTTCGCAAATCATAGGGAAGATATTGCGGCTCTCAAACAGGGGCCAAGATACATGAAAAATTTGTCTGACTGGATTAAAACTGGCGAATCTGAACACATTGCAAATGCAATGTCCGGCATACTGTCACTACCTCTTTTAGTCATAATTCAAATTGGACAATACTTTCAATTTCTTGAATTGAATGGAATGAGACATTCTGAATTTCTCACTCAACTTCGAAACGGGGGAGGAGTTCAAGGATATTGTGGTGGCTTATTACCAGCTATGGTGATCGCTTGTTCGAAAGATGAAACTGAATTGGCGAAATATGCATCTGTGGCTATGCGTATTGCCCTTGGAATAGGGACATATGGAGAGTTGGGTGATGATGAAATATACTAGGACCAACAACAATTGTCATACGCTTGAAACATATAGGACAAGGGGATGAGATTGTATCGAAATTTCCAGGCGTAAGTCGCTCCCCTCTTCAAATCGACCCCACAAACATGTAGATTGAAGCTCCAATTTCTAACCGCGCTCTATACTTCAGGCACATATTTCCGCTGTTACTGATCCCAAAACTATTAGCATGGTAGGGTCAGTACCAGTACTTGCTCAAGTACAAGCATATGGACGCGAGCAAGGTCTACTTGTACAGGAAATGCATCTTCGAGGAAAGGTACATAATCCTGAGAATGCAGAGCTCTCGTTAGAATTATGCGTTCTATGCGATAAAATAGATTCCTTAAAACTTCCACCGGTATCAGCTCTACAGGCACCAATGAGATCAAATAAGACGGGGCGCCTACTCGAAAACGAATCTCTGAGCCATGAGGCTATACAGACGATCTTAGCATCGAGGTGTGAATGGTATACTCTTCTCACAGAACTAGCAGATGAACTTGAGAAGAGTGGAAAGAGATCACATGTATTCGCAACTTTTGGTATTGGTGATTGCGTCCCGTTGGCACCATTCCATAAAAAACAATTGCGCATAACAAAACTCGATGTCCTCAACGCAATCAACAGAGCTGTGTCATCGGTACCTAGATTAAGAGAAGAAACGCAATATTCCTTTCCTGATGATGCCGTGGCCGTGATTGGGGCTTCATGTCGTCTGCCTGGTGCAAATAATCTGGAAGAACTTTGGGATCTCATATCAAAAGGAACCTCAGTTGCGAAAGAAGTTCCCAACGATCGTTTTTGAATTACACAATAGTTTCAGAGCTTCACAAGACTGGAAATTCGCTGGCAAAAGGAAGTTCTTTGGTAATTTTTTGGACAGCGTGAAAGATTTTGATCATGCATTTTTCCGCACAAATCCAAGAGAAGCGGTAAACATGGATCCCCAGCAAAGAATCCTGCTCGAGCTTGCGTATGAAGCAATGGAGTCTAGTGGGTACCTACGTTTGCATAAACGCGAAAATAATGATCCTATAGGGTGTTTCATAGGCGCTAGCTTTGTGGAATACCTCGATAACACAAACTCGAACGCACCAACTGCTTATACATCGACTGGAACTATCAGGGCCTTTCTATGTGGTAAGATCAGTTACTACTTTGGATGGAGTGGCCCATCAGAAATTATCGATACTGCATGTTCTTCTTCACTAGTAGCAATTCATCGAGCAGTTCGGGCCATACAAAGTGGAGAATGCCCAATGGCTTTGACTGGTGGGATCAATATTATGACTGGCATCAACAATTATCTAGATCTGGCAAAAGCTGGATTTCTGAGTCCCACAGGGCAGTGCAAACCATTTTGCGAGTCAGCTGATGGATATTGCAGGGCCGAAGGAGGCGGGCTAATTTTCTTAAAATCATTGAAACAGGCGGTTGTAGATGGAAATCAAATCCTTAGTGTCATTCCTGGAACGGCGACCAATCAAGGAGGTTTATCATCTTCACTTACAATTCCTTCATCCCTGGCACAAATCCAGTTATATCAGACCATATTGAATAAAGCCAAAATGAAAGCGGACCAGGTGTCTTATGTCGAGGCTCATGGTACTGGTACCCAAGCTGGTGACCCACTCGAAATAGCAAGCATTCGACAAGTGTTTGGGGGATCCGGAAGAACCAACTCTCTATACTTGGGATCTATCAAGGGCAACATTGGACATTGTGAGACCGGAGCTGGAGTTGCTGGTCTATTGAAACTAATTACAATGATCAACAAAGGAGTCATCCCGCCTCTCGCGAGTCACAACACCCTCAATCCGAAGATTCCAGCTCTGGAGCCGGATCGAATGGCAATCACTACAAAAGCTATACCGTGGAATGCCCCATTTCGTGCAGCTTGCGTGAATAGTTATGGAGCTGCTGGAAGTAATGCTGCCATGTTGATATGTGAAGGTCCACGGCAATACATAGAAGCACCAAAGAATCCACTTCAGATTAGCGCAAAGTATCCAATCATTCTAAGTGCTTCAACAAAAGATAGCTTGTTGAAGTACGCGAAGATTCTCGGAGATTATCTTGCAGTTACATTGCCGAAGCCAAGTCTCGATGACTTGGCGTTTACATTGAGTGAACGAAGGCAACATCATAAATTTCGCTGGACTACGACAGAGTCAGATATTGATCGACTTATTCAACTATTGAGAGCGGATACTCAGTCGTGTTTTGAGATCCCACAGGCCCCAAAGCATACTGTTCTAGTTTTTGGAGGTCAAAGTAAACAAACAGTTGGACTTGACAGTAACTTGTACCAATCTCACCCTCAACTTCGAGGGTATATAGATGACTGCAATGATCTTGTTACGAATCTCGGCTTTTCGGCTATCGTGCCGGCGATATTTCAATCTGAGCCAATCATAGATATCGTTACGCTTCAATGTGGTACTTTTGCAATGCAATATGCATGCGCCAAATGCTGGCTTGATGCTGGACTGGAAGTAGATGCAGTAGTGGGTCATAGCTTCGGTGAATTGACTGCTATGACTATAGCTGGAGTACTATCACTACAAGACGGAATAAAATTGATTGCTACTCGAGCTTCATTGATGCAAACTCAATGGGGTCCGGAAAGGGGAACAATGCTCGCAATTCATGCCAATAAAGAGCGTGTACAAGATATCGTAGCTTGTATTAACTCAGGAGTTGGAAGATTGGAGATAGCCTGTTTCAATGCTCCTACAAGTCAAATTGTTGTCGGCGATTCAATGTCGATAGCCGAAGCCGAGGAATTGCTGAGAACTGATTCTCGATTCAACAGTATTAAATCTCAACGCCTTGACGTAAGCCACGGCTTCCACTCCAAGTTTACAGAACCACTTCTTAGTGATATCGATGAGTTGTCAAAGACCTTGAAGTTCAATAAAGCAAAGATTCCACTCGAGAGCTGTACTTTGGAACCATTGGAAGAGATACTGCCAGGTCGTCTTTCAGAGCACACCAGAGATCCTGTCTACTTCCTCGATGCTATTCGAAGAATTGAGAGACGATTCGGATCATGTATCTTTCTAGAAGCTGGAATAGATTCTCCAGGAATAGCAATGGTCAAGAGAGCTGTCCATGAACCGGATAATCATCGTTTCCAAGAGATGAAACTCAGAAACTCTCAAGATCCAATGGCTGTCCTCTCGAGTATGACAACAAATCTTTGGCGTGAAGGCATCTCAGTATCTTTCTGGACCTTTCTTTCGCCGCCAAAAGAGGTACGATATAAGCAAATTTGGCTTCCGCCATATCAATTCCAACGTACCTCACACTGGTTGGAGAGCATAGATAGAGTGATCGAAGCTCAAGATAAATTCTCTTCAACCGTACTCAAGCCTACAGAGAAACTCCAAGTTCAACCTCCCAAACAGCTCGTGACAAAGAAAGACGGGTCGACAAATGAATTCAAAGTCCATATCGATACCGAACGATTCACCAGAATTGTATCGGGTCATGCAGTTAGAAGACAGCCATTATGCCCCGCATCAATGTATATGGAGTGTGCAGCGATGGCATTACAGATTGCTGGTGCTGATGTTGAAACAAAGTCAATGTTTTTTAATGGCTTGACATTTCAAGCTCCTCTTGGTGTTGACATGGACCGAGAAGTGTCCTTGATATTGGAGGGGTCTTCAGAACCACAAACCTGGACCTTTTAGTCAAGAGTTCGTTGAAGACCGACTTGAAATCTAGGTCCACAATACACGCAAAAGGAATGATTGGTTTGACTACTCAACCACAACTTTCAACTTATGAGAGACTTATATCGGATCGTGTCAACACATTGGTTAAGCAACCGGATACTGAGAAATTGATGTCCAAGCGAGCATATGGTCTTTTCTCAACAGTTGTACACTATTCGGATTTCTTACATGGGATTTCCAATATCACGATGGATGGGAACCAGGCAATTGCAGAAATTGAGTTGCCTCCTTTCCCTATTGAGGTACAGGAGAGCACAATCACCATATCTGCGACACTATCGCTTTGGATACCTTTATTCAAGTTGTTGGTTTACTTATCAATAGTAGCTCTCACTGCTCCCCTGATGAAGTATATGTTGCTACTGGCGTTGACAGTACAATCATGTCAGCCTCATCATGCAATTTCACAGATTGCAAGTACTGGAAGGTGTACGCCATGTTCACACCAACTAGCAACACCCAAGCCACTGGTGATATCTATGTTTTCACTCGAGATAGAAAATTGGTATTGACAAGCACGGGAGTCGGTTTCACAAAGTTATTGATCACAAAGCTCGAGAAAATGCTTGCTGCAGCAAATCCGAAAGTATCGAATAATGCACCACTGGAAAGAAAGCTGATGAGAGCGTTAACGCCCATCACAACTCCGGGTTCACCAACCGAAAATGATTCAGGAAGTAGCATTGATGATTCTGATGATAAAGGACCACCTACACCTACGGACTTTGTGTCAGGGGCAAACAATCTGAAAAATTTGATTGCATCATATACAGGTCTTTCTGACTCGGAAGTTATCGATGATGCGAATATTGGTGAACTTGGAGTCGATTCGCTGGCAGCGGTTGAACTCGCAGAGGAACTGCAAACAAAATTTGGGAAAGAAATTGCAGCTGAGGATCTTATGATGAGCAGCTACGCAAATTTGCTCCGAATTTTTGTTCCCACACCACAATTGAGGAAATCAAAGCCTATAAAAGCCAAAAAATCGCAACCTGAGATCATTGAACAAGCACCCGAAGACAATTCTAAGCATGACAGCGATTCACTACAAAGAGAAAACGTCTTACACATAATTTCCGAGATTTGTGGAGCTCCAATAAACGAAATTCGAGATTCGGCGGCTCTGCAAGACCTTGGTGTTGATTCGCTTTCGGCCGTCGAGTTGAAAAGTGAGCTTGCAGATACCTTTTCAATCGAAATTGATGACGATGATCTCAGTCTAGAGTCAACAGTCAAAGAAGTACTGAAGTATCTCGGCATTGAGGCAATTCAACAACAACAAAAGCCTATCACCGCAGTTTCAAACGGCAACACGAGCTTATCAAACAGTTCTGAAAGAGCCATCGAAAGTTTACCTGTAGTTCTAGCAAACCCCATGGACATAATCGAGAAATGTCAAGCAGCTTTTGAACCTGCAGCAAAGAAACTCGGATATATCAATTATTGGTCCGAAGTTGGTCCAAAGCAAGATGAACTATTGATAGCATACATTGCAGAGGCGTTCAGAACACTCGATGTTGATTTGTGGAAACTTGGCAACGGGCAAGAGTTACCGGACATTGCTTATCTTCCGAAACATTCGAAGGTCATGGCTCGATATATGGAAATACTGCAGGTAGGAGAGATCATTGAGAAGAAAGGCAGCAAATATTTTCGAACCTCAAGAAGCCTTTCAAATTTGATTTCGAATGACTTGCTTCAAAACTTGCTGCGACAATATCCTGCGTACGCAGCAGAATCGAGACTGATGGAATTAACCGGTCCAAAACTCGCTAGCTGTTTGATTGGAAAAGCTGATCCTGTGGCGCTAATGTTTGGTAACCCGGCAGCACAAAGGATAATGGGAGACTATTATACTACTTCGCCTATGCTTGGTACTCTCACTGAGCAATTGGTCGATTTCATGAAACAAATCGTCATCAACACCACCGGTCACGGACCAATCAGAATTCTAGAGGTTGGAGCTGGATTTGGTGGAACCACCACACGTCTTGCAGAAGTCCTTCAAGAAGTTGGTCGTCCAGTTGAATATACTTTCACAGATATTTCTCCTTCACTTGTGAAAAATGCCAAGGCAAAATTTGTCAGGTATGACTGGATGAAGTTCCAAACTTTCAACCTTGAAAAGGATATTCCAGCAAATATGAAAGGACAATATGACATCGCCATAGGAACAAACTGTGTCCATGCAACCACCAACAAAACTTCTTCGACTAGTCATTTGAGGGAAACATTGAGAGATGGTGGCTTTGTGATTCTCTCTGAAGTTACGAAGCTCATTAATTGGTATGATGTCGTACATGGACTTCTAGATGGTTGGTGGTTAGGAAATGACACCGATTATCCTCTTCAACCACCAGAATTTTGGATGGAGTGCTTTAAAAGGCGGGATTTGCTTCAGCTTCGTATACGGAAGGACTGACACCAGATTCCAATACCCAGCGTCTACTTGTCACTTCTACCAAGCTCTTAAAAACTCCAAGTCGTGAAAACACTACAAGAGGGAGTCGAAATTGGGTCAAAAAGTCAAACGGTGACTTATAAACTTGTTGACGGTGTTGAAGTACTGGCGGATATCTTCCTACCGGAGATGGCGCCGATCAATGCAATGCCTATAGGTAATGTAATATCAAGCCACCCTGTTAAGGCCTTTGATATGCTGACTATTTAACTCCAGCCTTGATGATCCACGGCGGCGGATATATGACGTTATCGAGGAAAGCCATTCGTCCAGCTCAAACATCACTTCTCCTTGCAAATAATGTAATTCCTGTCAGTTTAGATTACAGATTATGCCCAGAGGTAGATCTTATCAACGGCCCGATAGCAGATATTCGTGATGCATATATTTGGGCTCAAACCAAACTGCCAGGACTTGTGAGTGATAAGGAATCAAGATAGATCCTACCAAGATTGTCATGATTGGTTGGTCAACAGGAGGTCATTTGGCAATGACAACCGCATGGACAACAAAGAATATGGGCTTAGAACCTCCTTGTGCAATATTGGCATTTTATAGTCCAACGGATTTCGAGTCGGGAGGTAAGTGAACAGATGTGAAACGAAAATGATTGTAAAACTAATGTCAGCAGATTTAGATATCAGTCGTGCGAATCAATACCCAGGAAGGAAGTTATCCTTGGACACGATTAGAAAATCTCTCTCCACGCGTCCGGTGAGAAGTTTCCTAATTTTGAATCGAGCGATGATAAACTAACATGAGACTAGATCACAAATTATTATGGTGAGAGTAGCGATTCAACAGGACTAGGATGGGTTCGTCCAGGAGATCCAAGATCCGAGCTTGTTTTATCTCTTTTTAAAGAAGGGAATGGCCTTGATATTATGCTGAATGGTATCTCTGATGATGACTGGTGTAGAAAACCGGATCCGGAACGCGTCGCGTTCATTAGTCCTATGGCTCAACTCCGTTCTGGTATATACACCACACCAACATTTTTAATTCATGGCGAGGATGATGAAATTGTTCCATTCAATGCATCGAAAAAATTTGTGACTGCTTTGAAGGAGCATGGAGTACGATCTGGTTTCTTGGGGGTGTCTTGTGCAAAACATATTCATGACTTGAATTTGAGGCCGGGTATGGAACAATGGAGACAGGGTGTTGAACCAGGATATGATTTCTTATTCGAGATACTATCAGGATTGTGAAGATGAGAAGTAAAGAGGGTAGATGGAATGCTTGTTAGTTTTGTCGGCGCACTCTAGATTTAATATGCAATGTTCTGTTTACATTTAGATGAATTGTCCCATTACGTAAGTGATTGAAGTCGGCACGGAATGTGATGAAGGCCGACCGATGCCAAATCTTGCCCCCCTTTCTGTACCGACATATTTCTCGTGTAACAAAAACCAACAACCACAACATCAACAATTCTTTGGAGTCCATTTAACCTGCAGCAAGATCTTGGGTATGAAAACGCGTAATAATAATGAGTATAAGAATCCCGAACCTCATGTCCTTGATCAAACGTATCGACGTACCGTAGAAGGTGGCTCGCCCTGAGTCGCTCAGGAGCAGTGGTTACGTGTGTACCAGAAAGGCAAGACATTGGCAGAGATTTTGTGACTTTGAATCAGGAACATGTCTCCTGATGACGGCGACTCGCTCTTCCACGCTCCGCTTTTCTCAACCTCAGCGAGCACAAGATGGTCGCTCTTGGAGAAGTGGTCCAACAGATAATAATGCTGCAACGGTTACAAGTGTACAAATAATTTAAAAAGCGGAGAATCAAAAGAATATCATGAGTGCATGGTTGGACACGGCCTTCTTCTACACCGAGATCTCCGAGTCAATCTTCGGTCTTTTCTTTCTATCTTTTAGGGACGTCTATTTCCAGCTCATATCCAATTACGATCTTCGAAATGTACATTCTTACGCTCCTGTTTGGGCTCTTTTATCAAACGCTCGCCTTAAATAAACTCAGTGTAGATGCATTGGTAGCTCATTTCAGTGAGGTTCTCTCACCTGGGTCTCAAGTCTGGCTTCCCAGTAGCGCTAATTACACTTCCGCAATAACTCAAAGATGGACAATCTATCCGCCAGCCGAGCCTACATATATTCTTGCTCTAAAGCCAGCACTACCTTCTGATATTCAAACTATTGTAAGTTGTATTCTTTGTGCTTAGAGGTTTCTAAGTCTCTATTACTCGTGCTGTCCGTCAATATCAACGTGTTTCTCGTTAAACGTGAAACACTTTCGAATTGATACACCAAGGCTGACACTTCATCGATTGATGATAATGGTTCAGATTCGATTTGCATCAAACCACAATATCCCTTTTATGGCAACAGGAGGAGGTCATGGATACTCGACAACACTACACAGTTGTAAGAATGGAATCGACATCGATTTAGGTTTCTTCCACGATATTAAAATCGACAAAGAAGCAAGCACCATCACAATTGGAGGATCTGTTAAATTCGGGGAACTCATCAACCATTATTTGATGTTGGAAAAGAGATTCGTAAGATATTTATACACTTATCACTAGCAAATTCTGACATTCTCAAGAAACAGGATTAGCAGAATGCGTCGGTGTTGTTGGAGCAACACTGGGTGCAGGGTTAGGACCATATACTGGTCTTCACGGTCTTGTAATTGATGCTCTGCTGGAGGTGAGATATGTCACCGGAACCGGCGAGTTAATCACATCATCTAAAACAGAGAATTTAGAACTTTTCTGGGGAGCTAGAGGAGCTGGTCATCAATTTGGTATTGTCTATGAGGCCACATACAGAATACATGATGCCACCAATAATGGAGAGCTGGTGGTGGCGAGCATGAGATTTCACTCCAAGGATAATACATCTTGTGGGAAATAATGAAGGAAATTGGAAGTAACAACTCAGAGAAATGGCTTTGACCTTTCAAGTAAATTGGAACGATGAATTCGGTGGTGTAAGTCCTTCGCAGGTTAAAATTGTCTTAAAGCTAACATCGCCTCTGCAAAATAGCTCAACATCAACGTAAACGCAAATGGGTCGGACCAATGGAAGAAGCCCTCATTGCATTTTCCCCCTTCTTATCCTCAATCCTATTCAAAGAAGCATAACCAAAATTCCTTGGACCTCAATTTACAGCTCACCTGTTCTCGGCAGCGGCGGCAGTTCTAGCTGTGATCGCGGCGCAAAGAGTAAGTAACTGGGCCGTAAATCTCTACACCATCTCTATTCCAGCATTCACTCGCACGCTCCAACAACTGGCAGACTTTTACTCCGCTTTCCCTTCATCAAGAACGAGCGTTTGGTCAATTGAAAAAATTCGCCAATTCAGTAACTCTTTCAACACAAGACGATTGAAAACGGCATATCCGTGGAGGAATACTACAATCTATACTTTTGTCGCTTTGCAAATAAATGAAGATTCGCAGGATGATGCTATAAATGCTTTTGGTGCTTCTTTCCAAGCGGAGATGGCTGCCTCTAGTGGATATGGTGATTTGAGAGTCTACATGAATTATGGTCGAGATGAAGGAGAGAAAGTGTGGTATAGTGAGGGAAAACTACCGAGACTGAAGGCTTTGAAAAGAACGTATGATCCAATGGGTTATTTAGTCACTTACAATCCTGTGAAGATTTCTGAACAGCATGAAAAGAGTGTAATTATGGACGCTTAGGAAGCGACCTAAAGTAAGTCTTGTGTATTTGACAGACGTATTTTGGGTGATTTAAAGATAGCTTAACTTTATCAACTATAGTTCAACCTCACAAGATCAATCCAATCTTTATTAATACTCTACCTCCTTCCTCTTTCTCCTCTTCATACTAGTAACAGTTACTCAAAAGCACGTGATACTAGTTCAAAATCTCAACGTCATTATGTCAATTTAGCTCCCTCTCGGCAACACACAAATCTTTTCCACCCACACTTCACAAGATCCCTTCTCTCTTCATCTACCCTCTGCTCACAATTATCACTCTAATAGACATCCTTGCAAATGAACAATCTCTTCCATTTCGTGCTCGGTTTTGTCGTCGGATTCTATTCCTTCTTTTCAGAGTCTAGTCGGAATTTCACGCTCTCGTTCGTTACGTCATCGCTTCCCAACTTCTCATCGCTCCATGATCATCACGTAACGAACAATTACTCAACTTCTTATTCTTCCACGTTCTAAATCCCGCCATGACTACCGACGAGTTAATCGACCATGTTCAAAAGAAACTAGAGGAGACAGATGCCAGATTAACCACAAAAATGTTTCACGTCAATGGAACTCTTCAGCGCTTGGGAAGAAGAGTCCTTCCAAGGGGAGAACTCCTGTACCTCTGGCTGACCCTGGAATTGGAATCGAATGAAATGCCCGAGGAGTATCAAAAGAATAACGATGTATTCGTCAAAACCTTTTACGAACGACTGGAGATAAAGAAAAAAGGGTGGAGAGTTTGCGACCAAAGAATCTTTTAAGATATCGGCTCTCTGAGATTCATTTGGACGAGGGAAGAACGACGACCTTCGTTTGAAAGATGGCAAACAGGAAATTCGCGATGGAGCCTGTAATGTGGCTGACAAGATGGAAAATGGATTATCAAATCCTGATGAACGGGTTGAGGATTATTGTGAGAAGACATCCTCCGATGCTGTCGCGACAGAAGAAAAGATAATTAGAAACAATAAATTTCATCTGGTTGCATGTATCATTGAAAAATCTGGCATAATACTGGAATTTATGAGTAAATATCCCTTCGCAGTAATGAAACATTGAATAATGACAGATGTCCGTTTAGGGAGAAAATGCTTTAATGAACCTTGCCCAGGTGGCCCTTGACATGTCTTACGTGCTCCTTCCCGAAGTCTGGGTCTTGTTCCCCTTTCTAATTGATTCCTTTCATACTCTACCCGCTATTTTCTGTCTCAAGGGAGGAAATCAAAGCCAAATCGAATACATTTATTGTTATTATTGAAACTACGCCAATGCCCTGCGCTGAAAAGTTTTCGCTTGAGGAGAACAAGACCTACTAGGTATCTGCTATACAATGCTGAATCACTATAAGTTTTGACTCTTCACCCCTCTTCTTCCAAATTCACATCTATTATTGTACCTGGGCCCCCATCTGATGATCATAGCTCAGAGCATGCCCCTCCAAAATCCTTTCTGATTTCATTGTATGCTTTCCGAGAGCTTGGCATTCAAAACAAATCACCTATCTGGAGCCTCCTATGTGGATAAAAATCGTTTCAATACGTTCGAACTGGCGATTTTTTTTCCAAATGACAGTCTCAGTGCCTGGATATCGGCTCCTAGAACTGCTGCAAGTTCGACCTAGATATTATTTTCTGACTGTTCATTTCCTTTTTTTCTCTGAGCTTCATGGTATCTGTTATCCGTATGATACTTTGATGTTTGATGTCTTTTCACTATACCAGCAACATTGCGAGAGTCTTTCAGTTCCATTTGGATATTGATATTGGGACAGTATGCGCATTCCAACCGAACGATATTGCCAGAATAGCGAAGAGTAAATTTTGATTGAGAGTATTCGCGTTTCGCGATGTCGAGTTGTCTCTGAATAGCTTCAAGGTCAAGATGGATTTCTCTCTCTTTGAGAATGGATTCAAAGGAATCATGGTCTTGAACCTTTTGAAGTAATCCTTCCTGTTGACTTCTGAGGTTCAGCCGCAACACGCAGTTTGAACTGTGGATCTCTATTGATAATATCTTGCCTTTGTCGTTCCCACGAAATCTCGAATCGTTCGAGAATGTCTTTTAAATTGTGATTTACCGAGTCTTTGGGAATTTGCCTCCATGTTTTTTCGCTGTTTGGCGACATAATCGTCGTGTCGTTTTAAACCCAATTTTGTGTCTTCAGCAAAAGGTTTTAGCAAGTTGATCGCTAGTGCCTTTTCGTTTTTCGACTTCATAAGATCCAGTTTTTTGTCCAACTCTATTTTCATTTGCTTGATGATCTTTTTCGGTAGCATCTTCCGATTCCAACTCCATTCTCCTACGTTTGATAACTTCGGCTCTATCCTCTTGAGCTAACTCTCTTTTCAACATCTCTTCTTTTGTCGTTTTTCCAATTTTTCGTTCCTGTCCTGCTTTAATAACATAAGATGTTTTGTTGGTTGATGTACCTCCTGATCGCTCCTTGGACTTCTCTTCTTTCATTGTAACTGAGGGTGCCATGCTTGGACTTATTCTTTGAAATTCCACTGAGAGTTTGTTTTCCTCTTGCTCCTACCGTATTATCTATGATTGATGGCATTGTAGTCTCCCAACTCCAAGGTTTTTCTTCTTTATTTTCACTCAGAGGTGACTTGGTCTTGCGTTTGAACTTAATCCCCACTCATTTCTTCATATGCTGACATGGTGGAAGCAACTGTCAACTTTAATAAGCCTCCAGATTCCTCTTTCTTATCAATCGAATGATGTTTGATCGATGTATCCTGAAAGAGTTCACTGGAATTAATTAAACCCGTTTCCTCATATGCCATAGTTGAACGAACCGTATTTTCCAACAATCTCCCATGTTTCTCTTCCTTCGTCGACCTCATCCTTTCGTCAGCATATGTCGATGTCGATGAAACTGTATACTCCCACCATTTCTCAACCTTGACAATCTCCCAAAATGCATAAACGCCAAGCCCTAAGCATTTTATATCCTCGATTTTGGTATCAATTGACAATCCGATGTCGCCATCCATGAGAATAGAATTTCGGCCGGTTCTCTTAAAGGTGTAATGTCAGGATTTTTTTCGATTGCGACTGTCTATAAGAAATTAATCAGTAGGTCACACAAACAAATTGAAGGACAGATATAGAATGTACCCCCTTGACCTTAATCCACAAAAAATCTCCATGTTCACATTTCTCCAAAGCGATTCCTGGTTGTAAAATCGCGACATAATATTCCCAAGACTTTCGAGGTACAACGGGTAAATTTGAGGATGCGACTCGATGTAGGTGACTTCATTATATAATATTAGCTATGCGCAATGCTTATTTTATAAATATGGCGTCTGCTTACGTTTTGTGGTCTTCCTTCTCTCTCACCATAGCTGCTCTTATCATAGTTTGTGAATCCAAAGGCGAGGAAGGAGTGTTCCGATAGAAACTGCTGTGCTCAAGTAGAGGCATAGAAGTTATAATTGAAATTATATCGAAACAGAATGTTGAGGAAGATTTGAGAAAATATTAGATAGATGTCGATAATTATTTCTTCCGATATAAACGAGAAAGGGAGTAGATGTGGAGTAGACACAGTGTAAATTTGGATTGGGAGTGGAGACGGATGGATTGATATGGATATTAATAGGCTAATTAGTCTACTGATATTCAATAAAACTTAAAATTGAATAAGAAATGACAGCTATAAAGAATGTCGAGAGTTCAATTTATTCGGCCTTAGTATATATGCAAACAACATCTCAAATATTGAACAATACTGTTGCTTAGGATAATCCAACTTAAAGAAATAAAGGATCGAGTACGGTTTTGATGAAGATGCGATACTTGGGAATATACGGCTTGTTCTACAAGCATACACCTACCTACTCTTAACTACTGCTAAATTTTAAGTTTTTGAGGCTTCAAATTGCTTTCCATTATCAATCAGATCCTAGTGAATAAATGGTAGTGAATGAACATTGATCACGTTACGAATCTGTCCCTTCCGCGAACTTCAGGAATCCATGCCTCTTGACAGTTCAAATTGTATTCGATTGGAAGGTACGACAGCTACAGTTAAATCCTCTATCGCCCATTCTACATCCATCTGATTTTCTCTATGTTTTACGTTGTTTAAATTCTTTCTCTTTTATATTCTCAAATCTCAAAATTCACGGTGAGAATTGTGATACAATATGGCGACTCTATCTACCTCACCACTACACTTTTTCGTCCCCAATCGATTTATCAGACTTATGCTGTATTTGAATGCAGAGAAGATCAATGCCTTCCAGAATTGATCCTTCTATTTCCTAATCTGGCTCCATTGACTAAATGCTCGCATCCTAGCACTGGATTCTACTTTTCTCCTCGAGCTGCGACATCCCTCACACGTACTACTGAGTATTCAAACAACGAAATTGTCGAAGCCGTCATCATTCAATGCAATCCAAGTCACTACTTTTTGTCTGCCAGATTTACACGACGTCAGCATCAACAAAGCCACCTAGTTGGATTCTTTGACACTCAGTTTCGGGTAGAAGTGTCGAATTGTCTGCCGCTGAGCAGAGACTGCGTCACTTAAACTTTCATGCTTACCTTTGGATGTAACGTCATTTGAGAAAAGAAAGTGTACCTGCTAAGCATTTTACTGACGATGGTGTCAAGACAGTTCTGCGAGTTACCGACGAGGACGAGGACAAAGATTATCGATTCAACATTTGTTCGTCAAATAATAAGAATGGGTTCGAATGGAACAAGGGAAATGATAACACCACATCACTTCATGAGAGGATCAAGCTATCACACAAATACATTCATTATCACTGTTGAAGGCTCAAGTTTTTGTTCAAAACGCGTGTCGATTTTCTATTTACGGCTTCCCAAGATTCTATAAGACCTTTGTGTTACCGACACACGATTGAACCCAGAGATTGATTTTTGTTTCCAAGAACCATTAGGTCTCTGGATTCAACAAGTTGGTGATCGAAACACGCCTGACTCGGATGCGTGAAATTTGCTCCTTAATGGGTTTACCCTTAAGAAAGTCCTTCTTGAGGCCCTTGTAGTTCGCGTCAGTGGTACGAAGGACGGGTCCGCTTAGCGTAACCGAGCGTGATCCCGCCGTAGACAATTGGTCGTTCCTCATCATTGGCGGCAGCGGAGCGACCAGTTCCGGCATTGGAGCTGTTCGAAGCCTTGGAATTGTCCATCTTGATTCTAGACAATATGGGATTAGTTAATGCATGGGATGATAACAAAAATTCAGGCATGATCAATGTATGAGACGATGTGAATACATAGAACAATGTGAATGTACTTGACAACGAGGCTATATATTACAGCATGAATGTACAGGTAGACGTAATTGAATATAGCGACGATAATGAATCAAACAGTGCGATTGTACAGGCAAGTATCAAAGCATGGGATTGCATTATAATACGTTAAAAATTAACAACAGCATTACAATTAACAAGTGTGATATGCAAATAACATTAAAGAAGCAATGAGCAATAGCTTTACAATCGACAACTATGATATGGATACAAAGAATGTTAAAGAAGCAACAGCAATAGTGAGGAGGGAATGGGTGAGGTTACCGACTAGTTAATAGATTCTCTTGTATAGTTTGAAGTTTGAAAGGGAGTATTGATGTCGATGTCGATGTGGTGAGTTATCTGAAGTTTGAGGTGCTTGAGATAATATTTTGGATGTGAATGGATGTGGAATTTCACAGTGGGAAGAGCGGATTTTATATACAATCAATTCTCCCATCCTGATGGAAATGTACACTACAAATCTGGTAGGCGTGACTAGAACCTGCGCTAGACAACTTAGGGGGGGGATTAGTCTTTACGTCAGGTGATTCCGTTATATGTGTACGTCACTGTTCAAATCATTAGAGGATGAGATTGGTGCTTAGTGGTTAGTTAAGTGAGCTTGATTTAAATATCTTCTGATTTGCTGGGGGAGTGATTGGGTTTTGAGTGTGATAGTCAGAGGGTTGGATCATTCTGGGAAGGAGCTGTAAAGATTCAAGATTCTATACGCTTCTGGAGGATACACGAAAGGGAATCTAGATTATTGGAAATACCGAATTCACGATGGATAGATTGGAGGATGGAGATGTGAAAAATCTGAAACTGCATGGGATATGTAAGGTTTACAATATATTACAACAGCTCTCACTCAAGCAGGTACCTACCTAGAATCTATCGATCGCTCATCATGTCCCACCCTTGAAAGTGAAGTCAATAACCCATTCATTCTTTGATTGCCAAGAAAGAATTTGGTACATCCTCTCAAAACCAACCTAAGAACTAACACCAGACCCAATCGCATACCTCGCTAAATTGGTCGCATTCGTAATAGCGTGTGAGCTATCCCTTACTAGGTATTTATCCTCATTTTTGTCCCCATTCTAACCTTACGATTCATAATGACAAAAAAATAGGGCATGAAAGAATCTATGCTAGACTGGTATCATAGTATGGGATGAAAAATTGATAAAGTAGAGGCATTTGATTCTTTGACAGGACTGCATTTGTGCTGAAATGAGCAGAATTTTTAACCTAGCTTTAACGAAGAGTAGAATCGGCTGGAAGCTGAATATTTCATGATATGATATGATATGAGGACTTGGTTTGGAAATGATAGGGGAGGAGATGTGATAAACTTTATCCCTCCCTCCTCATGGATCATCGCAACTGCTGCATGACCATAATATCTCACCTACAATTGCCATAGGCCACCGGATATACTTCAGAATGTGATCGGAGTAACACATCCAATCGAATCGGATCGAATCATAAATCTCAACCCTCTATCAAAATCCATCAATCTCAAGGACTGAGCTCTCATTGTGCCTGTCATATTTCACCCGTTACGTTCACGATGGGATGAACTGCCGAAGTATACGGCCAATATCCCATTTCTGTGGGTGATATCAATGATTGTGAATGCTAGCCGACTACCGTACACTCAATTCATTTTTTACTTTCCTAGCATATTCCAAAACGCCATTGCTATGCATGCATACCATCAAATCATTCATTTTCCATCCACCATCCTACAATAATATTCCTTTCTCCATCCTCACCCATCGAATCCTCATATCCCCTGTACCTTTCTATAACTAGGCGGTTTGATCGTTCTCCTGATCAATTTTCCAGCATACGGTGGAATGAGTGAAATTGCCGAAATTGCCGCGACCCTCCATACAAATCCCCTAGGTAGTTTATTAGCTTCATTTACATGACTCGGCGCCTCAATGGCTGAGCGATTCGTGCCCCGTTCATCACCTGATCCTTCTTTACCACAGCAAGTTGGAGAAATGGCAGGAAGAAAGAAAACTTACCAAGTAACAACGAACGACAAGTCAAAATACCCTCCCAAGAATGGAATGCTTCCCAAATACAGCAAGCCTGTGCCAATCAGACTGACTATCATAACTGGATGCCATGTCGTAATCTCGAAAGCCACCATCGTGAGTTCATTCAATACCAATACTGTAAAACTAACTGCCACCATTCTCGGTCCATCGACTTCTGTGAGAATTTGAGAAAGACCTTGGATCATTCCACCTTGGTAGATGGAAACAAAGACCCAAACAAAAAATGTTCGGTAGGAAAGCGATGAGCCAGATGTTAGTTCTTTATAAAGTTCAGGGTAAAGATTTGCGAGATCTTCGTCAACATCTTTATCAAGAACCAGAGAGAAGACTGGTGCCATTGTATAAACAGTTGCGTAGCCGACGAGCAACCAATCTTTGTATAGGCCTTCTGGTTCGAATTTGATAGCTATGCTATACATCGTTTGAGCCACACTAATGATGAGACCTCTATGAATCACAAATTGGGCGAGTTTAGCACTTCGTTTATAACTATTTCGTCCATGCCAAACGAGAAGTTTGGTAAGATGACAGAATTGTTCGATGGAGAAATCCGCAGCAAGAGAGGCTTGTCGTCCTTCTTTTCCAACTATACCTACACCCACATCCGCAGCTTGGATCATGGAAACATCATTTCCTCCATCTCCGATACAACAAACGCGCTTTTTGGTATATTCTCGAATGAGTTTTGCGACATCGGCTTTTTGAGTTGGTGAACATCGACATGCAACGACTGCTGGGAGAAGAACTGCCAAAGAAATAAATTCGGTTCGAAAATGGGTAAGTAGTAGAGCTAGACTCTCGCCATCGATCAAGAGACAAGCATCAGTTTTGCCGCGAAGAAAGTCGAGATGGTCCTGAGCATTATCCTTTCGCCTGAGCTTATCGATAGTATGTATGTATTGTCCTCTTGCTACCAACTTGGCACTGACAGCAACGCATCGAGCAGTCTCGACTTTATCACCAGTCAACATCCAAATCTTGATACCTGCGTTTCGTAATAGTTCTAAAGAAAGTTTGACATCCTTCTGAAGCTTATCCTCAACACCAGTGACTCCTAAAAGTTCAAGGTCCTTCTCAAGGAAATGTGAAACCACACGAGCCATGCCGGTATCTCGATTACTAATGGAAACTGAAGCCTCTTTATAACTTTGCGAAAAGTCCTTGTAGTTTTGAACAGACATTTTCTTTCGTCCAACGACCAAGGTGCGGAGACCTTCTCTAGCCATATTTGCAGTTTCCTCATCAAGCCAATCATTTGCAGCGACAATTGAAGTCATAACAGTATCTGCACCTTTTTGATAGAACCAAATCTCTCCAGCTTCGAGATTGCTGCTCGAAGATGTTTCAGAACCATCAAGAAACTGAACAATGATTCCCATACGTTTTCCTTCGGATGTAAAAGGGAAGACTTCAAGAATACGAACACGAACGACGGAACGACCAGTATCGACTGATTGTAAAAGCATCCCTTTCCTATCACGATGAATTAACCGCAACCCAACAGCTTCGGTCCATTTAACAATCGCAATCTCATCAGGCGAAGAAGCTTGATAAGATGTTACATCTTGACCATTTATTTCTTCAATAGTTGGAGTGACATTATGACAAAGAGCAAGAGCGAGGACTACATCACGTACTCTCGACCCAATCTCTCTTCGGGTTCGAGTGGCAGTAACAGTAGTTGAAGCGACAGATGAAGGTGTGACAAGTATTGAAGATTGATTGGCATCTACAGGAACCGAGAATCCTTGTTTGACATAGGAGGCGACTTCATCCATTGCTTCATTCGCATATGAGACAGTTCCAACATGTATTTTCTTCATTTCCATTTCATTTTGCGTGAGTGTTCCGGTTTTGTCGCTAAGTAGATATTCAATTCGACCAAGTTCTTCAGGTATAGTACTTGTACGAACAACAGCTCCTTCAATTCCTGGATCTCGTTGAATGAACCAAGAGTAAACACTCTTTCCCATATCCAGATTGACACGGAGACTGATAGGCACGATTGTAGAAAACAATACCAAGAACCTCATGATCTTCACATACCATTTGACTCCTTCGACATGCTCAAACCCTTCTAATGCAACAAGAACAACAGATAGTGTGAGTGTCAAGGCGCAAAGGATTTTAGTAAGGGAGTTGATTTCATTCTCAAGAAGACCAGTCTTTGATCGAGATGGAGATGTAGAGAGAGCTGATCTAGTTTGAGGTCCAGTATAAACGATTACTGCCAAAGTAGTAGCACTCGAGGCAAGAACAGTATTGGCCCAAGCAGTATTGTCAATCGTTAATGGTGCTGAATCTCCGTCTTCCTCGTTGTTATCAGGGTCCGCTCCCCCTTTCGGCAAATGTGGGTCATACCCGCTAGCACCTTTGGGCAGAAGACTAACGGTACCGATGAAATCATTAACCTTTTTGTCGGGCTTCCCAGCTACAACACGAAGACGTATAAATTCAGACGGGTCAAGAGATTGTGTTAAAGGAGAGCCTAATCTCAATTTCCAATCTGTCTCGCCATCCAATTGATCTGTTCGAATAAAGGTTTCACCTGCGCCCGCTGCATCTGCTGAAGGTGTATTTCCAAGTTGAGAAGTCGACCCTCTAGATTCTGAAACAGTGGCCGTAGATTGATCAATTGAAGGATCAGATATTGGATCTACCAGTAAAGACTCGGATGGTTCAACAACATTGGTCACTGCAGGTTCATGTGATACCGCAGCTGAAGATTCGTTGGCTGTACTTTTCAGAATAACGACATCGGCAGGAACTCTTTGATCCTTTCCTAA